CTCGGTTCATCGGGAAGGGATTCTATCCACTTCACATGTTTTCCGCCATGGGCCTGGGAACAGGGCTACAAGGGTAAACCTTGGCTGGGTCGTAAGGTCGCAATGAGGGATCGCCCAGTGGTTCTCTACATTCCGGTGTGGAAGCTGCAGGAGTACGGACTTCTCATCTCAGCGACTGGGTCTCTATTGGTTGAGAACGTCGTTCCCTTCGATGAGGTTAAAGGGGCATGGTTGCAATGCGACAATGCGGAACCCGGACAGCCTGAGAAGATCGAATGGATCCGGTTACTCAGTGGGGAACCCGACCCTGGAAGCTACCTTGTTCTAGAGTCCAAATACGGAAACCCGATCATGATTCCACGCTTTCAAAAGCTTGAGAGCTTGGCGGTTGAGGTTCAGGACGATACCTACTGCGAGGACGACGCCAAAATCTTAAAGCTGTTGAGTATGATCGAGGAGAGTGGTGTTTACCCAGAGTATGATAACACCGAGTGGCAGGAACTCTTCGAGGAGATCGTGTACCGCCGAGCGATGAAAGACTATGATTCAAGGCCGTGTCCTAACTGTCTTGGCGAAGTCGATGTGCGATTGACGATATGTCCGCACTGCGTAGCGGTTTTGATCGCGAATGGGAAGCTCACACATGTGGTACCCAAGGAGACAAGGGACCGCAATCAACGATCACCTCCGAAAGATGTCCCAGCCGGTTCTTCCGGTGAAACAACCTCTGCTGCAGGTGCAAACATCGATGAAGTCATCAAGAACGCACGCAAGACAGCCGAAGAGGTCATTGAGATCGAGGAATCCGAAGGAGAGGAAGAGGAGGAAGTTCCTATCATTTTGAAGGAACGACCGGACGAAGCTGAAGGCGAACCCGAGTATCGGGAGGTCCCTCAAGATGGATACGGGAATGAACTTCCGAAGCCTTTCCCCTTCGCAATTGACGAATTGCCGCAAGAAGCTGCGATCCCCATCGACCACAACTTTGCCGTCACACAGCAATTTGATCTGAGGTTGATGAAGTTGATCAAGGGCTTGGCCAACGCAACGTTCGACATCAACTGCTTTGAGAGTCGTGAAGATGTACTGCGAATGTTCGACGATGGACAGCGGCATGACACTCCGCACAATAGATGGCCAATAGTACCGAAAGATCCGGATACTGGGTTTCCAAGACGTCTCAAGAGAGCCGAGGTCGTAGGCATGGGCAGATGGACCGACGACGTGTTTGCAGCAGAAGCGTGGCAGATCTATGAATTCCACGCCAACGTTGTTCATCCGATGATGATCACTGCAATCCGCTGCGGGCTTAGCCACAAGTACCTCAAAGAGGTCGGCAACACTCAGCGTAGCATGAGTGATCCAAAGGCTCGAAAGTCTGAGACCCAGGATGAGATCATCGAGAAATTGGCATTCATCTCAAATTTCATCAGACGCATGATCAAGAAGACCTTCGGAGCGAGCCGATATAGTTACTACCAGAAACCAGATGACGAAAGTGCCGCTCCATACAAATTCATCGACATTAGTCCCGCCATCAAATCGGAGAGGAAGAATGTCACGAAGGAGATCCTCGTTGCATGCCGCTACTATGGCATAGAGGTATCCGATATCCAAGCAAGGAAATTGAAGTCCTTCGAGGAGCAGATCCGAGCGGGAAATCCAAGGAACGTTGAGCTCATCAAGGACTACATTGGATTTGTCGGCGCTGACTACATGCGACAACTCACGAATGGTTGAGCATTGGGGTCATACCGACATGCCACTTCCGGTACTTCAAGTACTGAGGGATCTCGGGTAATTCATGATGACCGTTTTGGCATCATGGGAGTGAGATAGGATTGTGTCTCACACCGTTGGTAATCGCATGATACCATAGGTAGGTGCACGTTTTCCGCTTGTAGCTCCATTGCCTGTTTGATCCAACTTTCAAGCGAATGCAAGATATTTTGCTAATTCAATTCAATAGGACATACTGGTTGACCTCCAATACACTTTTGAGAACGTGATTCGTTCTCCGGTTTTTACATCCACTCATCTCCCTTCCCCGTCGAAGTACGGATGTGGGGGGTGTCAATAGGGATGGGGTCCCAGTATAGTCGCTATACAGGTACATGCCATATACTTTTGGCTCAAGTGCCCAACCAGGTAAAAAGGAGCTTTAGCGCGCGAGCTTCATGTTGACCTAAGAGCTAGAACGGGGCCAGGGCACACCTTTCCATCCGTTCACAATTATATAGATGATTTTTTGGCGGTGCTTCTATTGGCACGGTACCTGGAATCATTGGACACTGCTAGCCGCTCAGCAGGGGTCGATGCAAATCCGGACAAGGATCAGCAATGGCTGCTTTGGAACATGATCTCACTCCCAATCCACTACATCAATATAGATTCATTGAAAGGGAATGCGGAATGCATCTGGTGACTCCAGTCCCAAAGCAGTTCGGCTGATTGTTAGCCATGAAACAATGGTGGCAGAACAATGCAGAACACGGCATCGGATCACCAGGAACATCCGGTGCAAACCAGGAAGGAACATTTGCTTTTCGTCTTTGGAAAGCCGTGGCGGTGGCTGCGGAAGGCGGCTGCGGAAGGCGGCTGCGGAAGGCGGCTGCGGTGGTTCTTGAATGCTTGCAGCGATTGGATGTGGACCCGAGGCTGAAACCCAGCCAGCGATTGAAGAAGCTAATTCAGAAATTCCAGCAGATGAGCTTAGAATTTCAACAATCACTTCAGAAGCTGACAGCTCCAGCTGGAGCTGTCATGTGTCATGAAGCAAAGTTCAGCGAACACACATGTCAGAGATATTCAGAGATTGAGAAAGCGCGCTGCTTCGTCGACCATGTGAGACTAGAAGATTGGCTTTGTCAACCCTGTCTACATGGCAAGTTGCTGCCGTGGTGCTTCCGCAAGACCAAGATCCCACGTGTGTCGTGGCTGTCACTGCCCACATGGCAGGTTGAAATACTGTAGCCAGTGCAATGGTTGTCCGCATGGCAAGACAAAACTAAAATTGTCGTGGCTGCCCGCTGTCGATTGTCTTGCGCTGTCCCAAAGCTTGCGCGTGACCGGTCAAACGAAGCTGCTTGCGCAGCGTGGAGACCGGTGCGAGCACGGTGTCGGTTGTGCGCCTGCAAGCGCCACAAGCACAAGTGGACCTGCACCACGAAAGGGGTGCTGAGAATGGGGATGGCTGGTGAGAGTGTTGAGAGTGTGACACCGAACAACCCCATCTTTCAACTGAAACAGTACTCCTACCATGGTAATCACCAAACTGCATTTAGACTGGAGAAGGTTGGTTTCTTTTGAGCTGGAAACGCTGACGCTTGCGTCAGCTTTCGGAAATCCAGGTTCAAGTGCTTGTTCAATAGAATGCTCTTCATTGACGAGATAACACGAGTTTCTTTGGGTTGATTTTGATGAATGCTACCCCCAGCCCGGCATATGGTTTCGGGGTCTTCCAAGCGCATGACGCGCGTTTTTTGCTTGTGGCCAGGACAGAGGGGCGCTTTCGCAAGTGAAAAGCCGGGGGTGTCAGGCAGTGAGACTGGTGTTGTTGGAATCAGATGTTCTACCAGATTCCAGCTTGAGATTCCTACAACAACAATCTGGAATGTGAAATATTACCTGTTTCTGGAAACTTCAATCCTGTATATCATTGTATCATCCAATTTACTATAAAAACGACACAAAACGTCCGGCGACGGCTCCTCCACCGCGCTGAGGTCCGCTGCGCTGTGCGATCGCCGCGCTCGTTTGGGCGCGCGGGCCCGGTGGAGGGGCGGTGCGACGGCCCCGTGGCTGGTGACTGAAGAGCCAAAGGTGGACGAAGGTGCCGAAGTCTGTTCGGACTGACCAGGTGAACTGAGGACGTGCTTTTGGCCCTTCCATTTGATTGAGGATTCCGGGAAGTGCCCAAAGAGGTAGCATGTAGCGAAAAATCAGGTTCGAGGTGGCAAGAAATTGAGCGAAAGTCGGAGGGTCCTACAAAACAGATCCAAAAAGAGGTGTCAGCCACCCTAGCAGATATCACTTGGAATCACGCCACCCTGAGCCTATGCGCGCGATGTCATGCGCTTCGTACATCAGATGCCAAGGGCCTGGGTGGCCTTGGTTTCCTCGGTGCTGTGCTCAGATGAACAGAGTGTAACAGACTCGCGTTCCGATGAGCAAAGTAGTACGTTCGGACTCGGACTTGAGCGACTTTATAAGGAAGGCTCTTCTTCCGAATCGGCCAGGTGTGTGGGTTTTAGATGCTCTGAAAAGATGGGGTCCCAGCTAAGTCCCTTTGTTGGACACTCATCTTTTGCTCAACAGTAGAGTGCGTCCTCGGCCATGTGACATGCTGTGCAGAAAACCGGACGATGTCCCAGGGTCGTCCGGGTACATTTCAGCTATTTTTTCTTTGACTAAGGGATCAGCTGTGCACTGCACTAGTGGCCCCCCAAGTATGTCCAAGCCCCCCTTTAAATCCCTCAGTATGTCTGATCCCAACCCTCAGTCTGAAGTCACATGTATACATTCTTAAGTACATGTTTAGCAATTCACCAGCACGTGGAGCCCCACTCCTTAGGGCTTCCGCGCACGTCCTCCGCGCACGTCCTCAGCCATGGAAGATCGAAAAGTCGACGGCCCGAGACGAGGAGTTGGGCGGGTCAGGGCGACGGGAGCAGCGCTCGGTCGTTCCACCGGTGACGCATGGACGATCCGGAACAGGTCCTGGGGAGAGGAAGGTGCCACGCGGAGTCAAAGCTTCCAGAAGCAGTCTCTTGCTCCGTTCGTAGCGATGCCCTTTGCTCCTAGTAGCTTCTTGTTCCTTTAGCTACAAAAGCTGTCTCTTTTCCGTATCAGAATGTGCTGACTTTGTTCAATTTGCAAGACATGAAAACCTCAGCAGCTTGCTTGAAATCCCCTGGGGATACCCTGTGTGTGGGTTCTCCGATGAAGTCCACCGTCTCGCTGGTTTGGATGTTTGCTACGCCAGGTGCCACAGGTCTTTTATGGCCAAGAATGCTGTCACCTTGGCAGATGCCCCAGGCAATTGGACCACTTGGAAGAATAAATCTACATGCATTGCAATAGCGATGGCCTCCAACCTACAATATTCAATATATATATATATATATATTCAAGTAGACAGACTATCTGGGCGAAGCCTTCGATCATGCACGTGTTTCTCTACGTGTTGCGCGGATTTAAGCTGGCAGAACTCCTGCCAGCGCCGACCCAAGTAACTTCTTAGCATAGTCAATGCAAAAGGGCAAGAGGGAAGGGGCAAAGCTGGGTCTTTTGACCAACGTACCAACGTTGGTGGTTCTCCGATGTTGCACATTTCAAGCTTGGCCAGAAACGGGAAAAGCCACTAGTGCGGGGCAGTGACACATCTTGGCAGAGATTCAGATTGATAAGAGCAATGCCCAAAGGCTTTTCGGAGCTCTAGGCTCTAAGTGTCTAATTCTATTGCATCTGCCAGTGCATCTGCCAGTGCGTCAATCTCAATAAGAAGTGTATCTTTCAAGATGGAGATGTCGAAGGAGGGACCGTGCGCCTGACGCTTGACCACCTGAGCAACGTGTTGACAGGAGAAGCTTCGGCTTGAGCAACCACCTCCCAGAGCCCAAGCCGCAAGCCACGGCGAGCCGCCCAGGTTCTTGAGACCTGCGGTCGGCGGGTGCAATGGCAAAGAGCCCTCCAAGTGGCACAGGAGAGCCCTCTGAGTGAGCTTTTTTTGAAGTCTAAACCAAGGTTTGACGAAAAACACGATGCAGAAGGAATGAAGAAGGGGAGAAGAAGTAAGCCTCATTCCGACCCCCGTTTGTATAAGAGGATTAAAGCAGTCTGCGACACTGCAAGCCGCACGCCCAATACCGTTCCTTGGCCATCAAGCCATCGGTGGGGAAGCTTTGCCTTAAAGATTCCTTTCCAGGTAGTTTTTCGTCAAATGCCATATCCCTCACAGACACCACTTTACTATCTTTGTCGTTGGACCAATCGCCAAGCCCCCTTTGGGGCTGTTCGCGATACTCTTTTGAGCCATCCAGGTTGAAGCTCTTGACGTGGCGCAATGCACCACGGTGCTCAATATTTGTGGTCGAGGCGGGCTCGGACAATGAAAAGTGCTGTTGGGGAAGCTATGGAGCACTGAGTAGGGCCTTTTCATCCGATCATGGCCAGAAGCTACTGGTACCCAGAAACAGAATGGTAGAAGAAAGATTGTAAATCCTCCGGTTCCATTTCATTCCGCGGCAGGCTTGCAATGGCACATTGCTACAGTTGGAAGCCCAAAGATGTTGGGGCTCAGTGTGTTGGAGCCTTTCTGAGTGTGCTCAGCATGTGGCAGATGATGCTATGCACATTCATCGCAATGAATAGATGTGTTCGACGGGGTGGATCGTGTGATTTCATATCATCACATGCTCAAAGAGATGGGAAGAAGCTGAAGCTGAATTCTCTTGGACATGTTGTACTCTCTGGACATGTCATGCGGTCGGACGGTGGAGCTGAAGACGACCCAGGAGCTTTTCCACCAGCTTCCTGTTCGACGCTTGCGACCCACCGCCATTCGGACGCATCGGGTACATTGGACTAAAGCAAACTTGGAATCGCGAGGACTTGCTGAGAGTATATAAGAAAATACAATACAAAAAACATCGGATATGTGGTTTTTTGTTGTTAAATTGTTGGTTCTGTTCTGAACTAGTTGTCTTTCCTATCTAGTTGCTCACCCCAAAAGTTGGAGAGGTCCCCCTGATAAGGCTCTCACCTCCAGGCGCCATGTGGCAACATCAGAGGGCGGAAAACCCATGTTCTATCATACTTCTATAACTTTATAATCTTCTATAACACTTCTAAGATGAAATTGCAGAGGTCCTTTGCCAAGAAAGTTCCAAACGATTGCGAGTTCCCAGTGTCCAAATCCGCACAAATGATATGATACATATTGAAACGAGTAAATGTTTGTTTGATGCACAATCTGAGTCTGTGAGAAAGGGCTTCATCTGAGGTGGTGACCTACAATGCGATGATCAATGCTTGTAGTCGACGTTGGGAAGAGGCACATATGACCTCGGGACACGGAGCATTTTGCACTGGAAAGGAAAACGAAGGATGCCGTTTGACACACACTATATATATATATTATATATATAGAAGTGGAGAGAGGTGAAAAACCACCTGTTTGTAGACGAAACTCTTCTTCCCAAGGGTCATGGTCCACTTGCATCCACTTCATCTGAGTGAGGAGGGCACCTACAAAAGCTGGAAATCTGAGCTGTAATTTGTGGAAGCTTGAGCCGACCAGGAACGTAGGTCTTCTTCCTTTCTCCCTACAAGTTGTCGACATCACGTTCGCAATGGAACGCACGTTGGACCAAAATCCCACGTTGGACTGCGAGTAATGGAGAGGCTGCTCAGACGCCACGGCAGTCAAAACGGCTCTTCGGCGAATTCCTCCTCAACGCCGACCCGAGGCCATCTGGTGGTTTTCAGCCCTCGAGAAGCGTGGCGAAGAGCGTAAAGAAGAACGGCCTCAGCCTAGCGTCGGGGTGCTTAGGTCGAGAAGTCCAGTGGAGAACGAAAGCGGACTTCCAGGTGTGGGACAATGGCATTGTTGATGGACAGTGGAAGCAGTGAACATGTGGGTTTGGGCAATACTTGGCCGTACATGGCAATACGGCACCAAAACTGTTCCAGAACATCTCATCACCCATCACTCTCCGAATGACCTCAGAGAGTGTCAAACACCACCACGCACCGTGAAAACACACCGTTGGACGGCGTCAAGGTGATTTCCTACAACAGTCTGATGACCGTCCTTGGAACCAACAGTCTTTGGGTCCAGGCACAGCGAAGAACGGATCCGGATCCGAACTCGGTGCGATGACAGACGTGGAGTACGACCTCCAGTGCGAAAGGGTTCAGGATGCGATGTGTCCTGTGTTGAGATCTTAAGATGTTTTGCTTATGGCTGGCACTTAAAGGAGGCGTTCGACTTGAAAAACACACGAAACCATGCGAACTCTGTGGCTTGCCTCATTGGACCACACACGAGACCAGAAAATATGAAGGGTCCAAAACAAACGAACGTTCTGCCAGGCTCTATCAGTATGGCAGCAGATGATGCGGGAGGCGTTTGACACGTAGTGTTTGGGTTTCACACTGATGATACCAGCAAATTGGAGTGTGAAGACATCTATGATGCGTGGTGTTCATGTTTAGCTTGTGTTGCCGGCTGTTTAACCTGCTGATTCACTCGAACAGACGATGTTTAACCTCCTCCAATGACCTTTTGGTTCAATGATCCAATCTGCTCATCGGCCTTTGTCTTCGGAATCTAGCATGTCCAGCTTGGATGGCTTGCATGTCCAGCCACAATCCATCAAAGCCCTGCGGAGTCGTCGTCGTCTTTCCAGTGTTCTTTGAAGTGATGTCCCGAAGCAACGACCGGAGGGCCTGCAACCCAGCGTAATGACCATCAGCACACTGGGCCGCCATCTGCGAGGCCCAGGAGAGCAGGGAGTTTGGTGGGAAAGCGATTCGACGCCTTTGAGTCTGGGCCGGTCTCAGGAAGGTTGTCTTAAGCATCGGCTAGGGTGAAGTGAATGAAACGACCGAGAAAATTTTCAGCCAGATCCACCTGCGAAATGCTTTTGACCAAAGAAGAATCCAAAAGAGGAGACGGCGCAGGGACGCTGCTGCGGGGTTCCTTTCCGGAAACCGGATGAGGCGAGCGGTCGACCCGTTCACTCCTTCACAGGATCGGCCGGTCGGCGCTCGGCTGAGGAGCCTTGAGACTGCTGTCACTCTGCAATGAGGCCGATGTGAGGCGGGCAACCGGAAGTGACATGGAACGGGAACTGTTCTTTTTTTTTGGGGGGGGGCTTGCCGAAAAGAGTCTACTACGGCCGCCAGGAGCCCCGTGTTCGGGTCCCTTCGAACGCTCCGTACTGTAGCGATGCCCTTTGTTCCGTTCGTAGAATAACTTCTTGTGGAACGTAAGGGCTAAAGCCCAAGTTGGTTTCAAAAGAGCAGATGATAATAGCGGTGGTATTCCGATCCCAGGATCTTCATTCTGGGCCACGCATGATCACTCTCAAGCCCTCCCGCTATGTAAATATAGGACACATAAATATGATTCATCGTTGAGGGAGATGAATCTATGAAACTGTTGCTGCCAGATGAGTAGCCAAACAGTCTCTTTGGATTCATGCCATGCTTTGAGCCTTTCAACTCTGCTTGCAGGCCAGACCTCATTCTGTGCAATACTGTGCTGGAAAACTGCCAACGGATGCTGCGGTGGCAACAAGCCCTTGCTGTGTTGCAGGTGGCATGTGGGAGTCCTCCAAAAGTGTCTCCTGTCTCTGTTGCACAGCCCATGTCGGAGAGTGAAGGGATCGATTCAACGCCACGAAGTCGCCACGAACGGAGACGCATTCGACAAGGAGATGCCATGGAAGATTGGCATCACTCCAGACGAGGCGAGGGGAGTTTTCTTGTTGGGGTGCTAGCCCGAAGCCAGGCCAGGCCTCTGTGGGAAGCTTCAGAATTTTCTTCCTGGGACTTGTGCGGTGTTTGAAAGGTAAATCTTGTGCAGTTGAGGCGTTCGGTGAACCTGGATCAAGTGAAGCGGAACTGGGATGTGGTAAAGTCCTGAGTCATGAGTCAAGCGATGGCACATCTCCAAAGTATATTGCTCGAAGAATCTGATATGGGAAAGGTATTGAGGGTTCGAACCCCTGCCATGGACAGTCTAAGGATTCCTAGGGTCATCGAAGTTTGCTGCAACATGCTTGTCTTCGTCTCCAAGTTCTTGTCTTCGTGAAGAAGGACGTTGACTGAAAATGATATCCAAGGTCTCTCCACCGTGTTTCCTTCAGGTCTCCTACAACACCGCTGTGAACGCTTTGGAGCTGAGCGACGCATGGTCTACGGCGGTGCTCCGGCATCAGCGGAATTCGGGTTGAAGGATCGGAATGTGAGATGATGCAGATGTGTGATGTGAAGCGTCCTGGGATTTTTGGTCAGAACCGAAGAAGGATCTTTGTCTTCGGAACTGACGAACGAATATCTTGAATCCAGTTTTGCGTTCGACAGCTCTTTTTCACTCAAGCCATTTGAAGCCCTTCTGAACTGCCTTCGACTTCGTGCTCCGGCTGTAGTCAAATCCAGGTGCAGTTGCTCCGGCAGATGAGATGCGAAGATCTTCAGCCAAGTGCCTGGGTGCAAGGTCCTGGTCATAGGAAGACCTGGACAAAACCGGACGCAACCGTGTTCATGTATGTTTATTCATGTCAACCGTGTTCACTTATCAAAAAGCCTTTTTTGCGTTGATTCAACCGTGTTCAATTTGACCTTTTTTGTCCTTTTTGACCTTTACTGTTCTCAAAATTTGGTGACCAGCTCAGCCAACTGTACGTGGTTGGACCTACGGTCCCGAGCTGCAAGAAACATGGAGACGTTGTGGAATGTGGATGGGGCTTCCTTGGGGAAATAGAAGCATCAGAGAGTCTCCTTTTTTTGATGTTCTTCCCACGTCTGACAATCAAACCAGTACTTGATCACGATAAGACGACCAACCATCACGATGTTTGGGCAGTTTGGGCCCACGATCCAACCTGCTTACTGTATGCCATTGCTCCAACAGAGCCCTTGGGGAGGGCGGGAGGGCTGTCCTTTTTCTCCACGAGCTGCGAGCTCTTGTGGTTTGCAAAAGAGTGGCGAGTCTTTGAAGCGTCACAATCCAATTCTCAAAGACTCTCAAAGACATGCAATTCTCAATCTCTTTCAAGCGAGTCTTTCAAGCATTCGATGGCTGAAGACACGACCGGCGACGGGCCTGGGCCTCGAAAAGAACGACGACTGGCACCTGATGAGTTCGGTCTGGGCCGGTCGCTCGCGTCGCTGGGTCGCCAGAGGCACTGTGACTTACAATTCCACCATGGGCGCTTTGAAGAAAAGCCTCCTTTGGCAGAGGAGATCGGCGCGAAAAGGATGCGCGGAAAGATGCGCGAAAAGGAGGTTTCCCCTCCATCCACCAGCAGTTTTCCTTTTTTTCGCAAAGGTCGAGGGCTCCCCAACAAACTGTTTTGAAGTGCAAACTAAATCCAGTTTATCCAGTGGTCTAGATCTTCTAATTGGGATTAATGCCGTTCTGGTGTGAACATGATGTTCCATGTCACACAGACGCATGATGTGACACATATACATGTAATTGACAGAAGTCATGAACACGTGGTAATTGGTTAACACATGTAACACAGATGTAACACACGAAAAGTTCACATGAGGTCGCTCAAGCGGGCCTCCAGGACCATGAGCCTTTGGCAAGAACTCGCTGAAGATGGGCACAGACTGAGCGAGGTGAAGGAACGAAAACATGAACTAAGCTTGAGACCATTGATCTTCTTAGAGGCTTTTGTCATGTCATGACAGCTGTAAAGGTCTAAGGAATTAGCTACATTCGTAGATACCAACTTGAGCACCGAGAAGCAAAACTCGAATCGAATCCGAAAAAGATGGACAACACTATATATAGTGTTGGCATGCGTCGACACGGACTTTTACGGGTTCCAGGCAGTCTCCTCTTTGACCGTTAGTGTTCATGGTGGATGGATCCCATGTCGTGAGTGAAGCAGTGACGACTGATCAGTGATGCGCCAGGTGACGGGTGACATCGCAGTGCATCTTGATGCGAAACACCCAACGGGAGGGGTCCCGACCCGACGCCGGTCCGGACCGGGCGTAGGGCCGAAGCCGAAGAGGAGAACCGTGCGAAGTTAGGTCGATGGAGAGGTCTTTCGGGATGGAAATGACTCAGAGAGCCACTCACCCACCGAGGAACGTTGGAGAACCCAATCTATCGAATGATTTGACCAGAGGGCCCGGATGTATGGATGAGTCGCTCCAATACTTCCTGGACAGCCCAGACGCTTGATCATTATTATATAAGTACATTTGTTACATATAGGTGTGCGTATTTTAATAGGGAGACACCCAACCAATGGGTAACACATAACCACTGCCCTCAGTGGTACATAATGTACATACGCATTCCTTTGAGATTAATTCATATAGTGGTGGACAAGCAATTTAATTTATACAGCAGTGCACGTGATTTTTCACATCATACAATTCACGGACAGTAAATACGTTCAAGTCCGCCAGTACCCTTTGGGACACGGTCTACAAACCGGTTTTCTTCCGGTTTTCTTCCGGGGGTCGTTGGTTCGCGCGATCGGAGGACTGCCTTGAGCTGCAGCCACAGATGGGCAGCAGCCGTCGCACTGGTCGACTCCCAGTGGCTTGGTGGAGCGAGTGAAGGTCCGGCAAGCGGTTCCAGCAAGAGAAGAGATGGAGACAGGAGCAGGGACGCTACTAGGGGTTCCTGGCCTTACTACTAGGAGCAAAGGACGCTAGGGGGTCCTGGCATCGCTACGAACGGAGCGTTCGGACGCTGGAGAAACACCCTCTCTCCCGGAGACAGTGCCGGGTGTCACTGTCACACGCTCACGCTGGCGATGAGCGACGTTAAGAGGCACCAGCACCAGGCCCAAACCGGGAGGGTCGTTTGCTGCCAATCCCCGAATCCCGACCTCCAGAATCCTGACATGGAGAGGGTCCTTTTATGTCCTTTTGGTGTTTTGATCGGCACGGGCGAAGGTTTCTCGGTCATCCATGGTTTCCGACTTTTTTTCCACGAGGATTTGCGGTTGGACCTGCAGGTCCACGACTGTTCCCGAGCCGCGCAATTTGAGCCCGGCACTATGTTGGGCGTTGCAGGCCCGTGGGTGCTGCAGGCTTGGCTTCGGCATGGCACTCATGTGGCACACTCAGAGGGAGCAATTGCGATGGTCGGATTCCACGGGTATGGGTGAGTATTGGAAGAGAGGGACACCTTGAAAGACTTTCTGGAAGAAGGAAAGAGAGGAGATACTCGTATAGGGACCATGTGGTCGTTTCCAATGCGCTTCATTCAGCTCAATGGCTCAACATATGACATGATCAACAAAAAAGCCCGACAGGTTTTGGTTCGGGTCATCACGGTCATCACTCTTTCCGACTGCGACTGGTGTTGTCCCCCGAGGGTGATGTTTGGAGACGTCGATGTCGTGAAGCTCTCCAGGTGAAGCATTCCATGAGAGAAGGGCCTTACGGCACGTGCAGCAGCAGCTGCGAAGTAAGGCCGAACAAAAAGCAGGGCTCCTCTTGGGGGTCAGAGAGATCAATTGGCCTCGACCAACACCTGGAGTTATGGAGTTATGGAGCTATGACGCGCAGAAGTGAGCGCGAAAAATGGTTCTTTTGGGGGGTGTGGAAGAACCATGTGGAACCAGGGATCACCAAGAGGAGGTCCAAGAGAAGGTCCAAAAGAAGAGTCCAAACGAATCCAAACGATTGACTGTTCCTTGTTTGTCCAACTGTCCTCCATTCAGGGAGTTTCTCCCGATGTTCGCTTCGCTTTGTATGTCGGGACCCAAGACCCGGCCAGGTGAACACCCAGCATGGAGAGGCCTTGATGAAGGCGAACCGGGAGAGGCATTGTGAAACGAAGGGGGGATGAGCACCGGAACGAAGAGAGGCCTTGTCTATCCTCCCTGGAAGTGGGTAGAGGCAACGAGCCTTCCTTTCGGGGCCATGTTCAACTTCCGTGTTTGTCAGAGGGTAATCCTCCCCTCCGGTAGTTGATCCGGTTCGTGTATCATGTGCAAACACCCCAAAAAGGGCGGCCGAGCGAGATCGCCGTGCAGGTGTGGCGACACCATGAGATTGCCGTGCTTCTGCAGGGCACAGCGACTCGGGCAAAGCGACCACCCTGGAATGTCCATCCGTGCAGGGTCGAGAGCTGGTGCAAGATTCCGAAGCTCTTTCAAGCCATGATGTAGAGGTAAGGTGACATCATGAGGGAAATACTGAACGTGTTTTGTCCAATTGTTTCATAAAGGTCAAGTTGATCCTGCAACATACAGATTGAAAGGTGCCAGGAACCCAAAGGTTATGATTCTTTTGTTCAAATATGTTGCGTAATGTTCTATTAGGAAAGCAATGCAAGCAGGAATGGAGTCCGGAACAGCTTTGAGACCTTTCTCGCTAGACCATGTCAGGTGCTTTGGTGGCGATTCCTTTGGAAGCTCCACATGCTCCACATGGGCAAGGCTCATCCGGACCTCAAGGACGGTTCTGTTGGTTTTGTAGGCGTTGGCCCAGTCTGAAATCCCCTGAATCGAATCTTTTCACTCTTTTCAAGTGCATGAAACTCATTTCGATTCCGTCACAGATGCCTCACTCATGATTTGCATCTCGCATGTTCAGCGGATCCGGTCACGGCCCTCGTGCAGGATGTTATCGTGCCCTCGGCGGCAGCCAGGCTTTGGGAGATGCCCAAACGGGAGGCAATGGCTCCCCTGGTGTGGCACGGCATGAGAGGCCGCGGTCTCGCCGCAAAATCCATGCGCTGGGGGGAAAGGGAGGGGGAGTAAGATGCCAGCAATGGATGCGCTGCGGCAAGTCAGAGCCAGCGCGTTTTGGGCGGAGACGATACGCGCTGTGGTCGGGTGTTTTCCGTGTTCGGAACCCTGGAGCGTGAAGGTAGAGGGAACAGGTCGTCCTTCATCGCCCTTCGAAAAACTCGCTCAGGGGCTACATTGCCGCTGGAGCCATTCGTGGGGCTGTTGCCGGTTGCTTCCTGGCGCACGTATGTGCTATAGTATGTGCGCACGCGATGTTTTGATACAATTGCTATCAATTGCTCAACAAAGGCATCATTCAGCATCAATCGATATTCTGTTTGAAGATATGGTTTTGGTGTTGGCTTCTACCCAGACGCACCCTTCAGGGCGGCCCTACTTCCGGTCCCTAAGGGACTTGCTTCGGGTCCAGACCCGAGGAGAGGAGCGGGCTTCATCGGCCTAGCTTCCGGTCCGGTCGGGTGAGGACTGGACGGTCCCGAAGGGAGGACCTGCCAGGTACAGGACCTCTCTGAGAGGTACTCTCTTAAACTCAACATAACTCAACCAATTCATCCGACTCGGAGTGTGGAACCCGCTTCCGAACGTCACACCGTCGTGTCTTTCTGGTTCACGTTTGGGGCCTCTGGCCGAGGCTTGCGAGATCTGCTTGCGCGGCCGAGGCACCCGTGGCGTCTCCATCTCCTGGGGCCCTGTGCCTCGCCTGGGGTCACGGGGCGGGCCCCGGCGACCCAAAGAAGTCCCCCTGTCGTCAGGGAGTGGGTTCGGTGATGCTTGGTGTTCGGGTCCGGAAACGAAGCCAAAACGGGAGGGTGTCCAATGGGTGTCCAAAAGCTGGTCTGCCGGCGGACTCGCACCTGAGGTGATCCTTTGGGCCGAAGCGGATCGCGGATCGAGACCTTGGGCCTGAAGGTCTGGAGTTCGGCGCGGTGCGCTTTGCGCCTGGTGGAATTCGTCCGCCTCCACGCCACCTCGGTGGACACCGGCCCAAACAAAGGCGGTGTTCGACTTTGGGACAGTGAAGTTGGGACACCAAACTTGCGTCTCAACATTGGTCAACCATGATTATCCATGGCTTACTTGGTTATCCATGGCGAATGTAGAAGGACTCGTGCTGCTGATTTCGACGTCCGGAAGTGGAGCCCTCTCGACGTCCGCGGCCACTGGCAGTTGCACGGCGCATCGACATGAGAGGACTGGTTGGAAGACCCAGCGAGACGTGGGGCGGGCATGTTGGAAATATGTTGAATCTCAACATCATTCAACATCCAAGAAGAGCAGATTAGATGAGAAGTGCTGAACATACGTGAAATATCGTGAAATGAGTTGAGCTGGTCAGGATCCAGGCGAGATCAAATCAGGCTTGACGCCATCATCTCAGCCCTCCTGCACTGCTGCAACTGGAGCATTGAGTCCCGCAGATGTCGGAAGCTTGGCAGGGTGCTTCAAAATGCAACTCTCTAACTGTTCCATGTTTCCCCTTCAAAGCCGCACACTTTGCTGCCAAGCAGCATTCAACCTCATTCAACTATGCTAAACATGTTTGTATAGTGCATATAGTTATTGTCATTGTATATAGTTCCACCGCCGATGGCACGAGAAATGTGCCGTCATAATTAAACTAGACTATATAAATAAATATACCAGGGCCCACTAAGGGGTGTCTAATTATAGCTCCTTAGAGGTTAAGGGGTCTCCATGAACCACCCCAAACAGTGGGCCCTGGTATACATTCATTTGTGTTGTTGTGTGTCCGTATCATCTGGGCATCACTGTTCTGAGTGCAGCCAACTGAGGGCAGATCGAGCAGCCAACTGCGGGCCACGCTCGAACGAACGGACGCCTTGCTGGACGGGACTCAGTCGCCGAGCTGGGGTCGACGCGAGCTGGGTCCGGTTGTTGCGGTGCCGACGGATGCCAAGGCAGGAAAACGGTGCTTTGGGGGATGCAGTATGCAGTGGTATGGCCACACCAGCTTAAGGACTCCGATTTGGGCAAATCCGTCATGACTCCACACTCTATCCACTCTATGCTGGATTTCCGGATAGATCATGTAGATTATAAGATCATGACCGCAGGGAGGCACTGTTTCACACCGCGGCGCTTGACCGGAGATGTCCGGTGACCTCAAGGAGATCCTTGCCATCGGCTTCGGCAGCCGAGACCCGTGGTGAGACCGACCCGATCGACCGAGCGGTTCGGGCCATGGACCGTTGAGTTAGTCAAAGGGGTCAAACCTGGCAAAGCTGCAAACCGGTTTGCCATGGTTATGGCTATACCCCTGTGCTGCCTGTGTGTTTGCGTCTCCATGTAATCCGGAGACAAGCTGAGACAGCAAGTGGGTAGTGAGGAAGCTCTCGAGCGTGCCACGCCTTGTGTTTTTTCCCATTGGAGAATGGCTCTCCAACATCAAATTCATTGATGCCACAACCCCTCACGGGGTTTCCTTGCACTGCTAAAGTTTTGCATCAAACTGGGAGATGCACAGGGACTAGCTTCTGTCCAACTAGTCGCTCGCTAGCCAGCTGCTGTTTCGCTTATAAAAAGAGTGATGTTTGCGCATCTGTGACGCATGTGCGTGCCTTGAAACGGGAGGGAGAGATATTGACGGAAGCAACAATGTGTCCAGGGCCCATCCAATGGCCCATGGTAGCCTTAAATTGATGCGACTCGCGCCGACCATGTCTGGTCAAGTTCGCTTCGAATCACGACAGCGAGACGCTTTGTCGTGGCCCTTCCGATCACCGGCCCTTCGACCGATCGATCCGCTCCGATCGATCCGCGGCGCACGGTGTTTGGCGCGGAAAGCCCGCGCCGCGGAACGTGCGGGGACTCACCTGGTGGGTACCCTCCACATGTCTCCTTCAAAGGAGTTTGGAGTCCCCACAAAATTGGATCTTCTGGGCACCCCATCCTTCACACCGAAATATGGAATTCTTTTGGACGCCTCTCACGACGGTGGCCTTTTGACGGTCAGAGAGTTTACCTGTGCACAGAGTCTTTGGGCTCAACAGTGAACCCACCGAACCTTGCTCGATCAACTGGACCCGACACGCGACTTGGAGCGGAACGCAGAGAAAAGACTTTTGTAAAAAAGAGAATCGTTCTAGTGGTTGATGTTAATGTAGATCTCTTGATTAATAGACCCTCCCCAGATCCCATTCATGCTCACGCAAATCTTGGCGTGTATAGGAACTGGGACACTGACACGTCACGAAGGTGTTTCCTCCATTTCCATGCTTTGAATCTGAAGGAACCATCAAGAGGGTATTTTAAGTTTGCTGATTTTGCTAATTTCTTGGTTCATGACTTAGCACTCCTAAGGACCTGTGAATTTATCGTATATAATATTTCATCATGACATGGAAGCGAACGATGAAGTTAGAAGTTTGAGCACAGAACCGACTAATCCCATCACTACTGGCGGGTGGTTTTTCCTGCATCTCATGTCTATACTAGGTGGTTAGAGAGCTAGAGCTGTGAGTTTCACTCATGTCGAGTCATGCTCCACACTCCTGAAAAGACTCAAGTTCACTCTGCCACAGGTCGCGCGCCGGGAAAAGAAAACCGACTCACTGCATCAATGGTCAAAACCCTAGAATCCTGGTTGACCCCCACAAATGAACAGCATCGACTAGCACAAGTGTCAACCTAGCACGATTTAGGGCTTTGACCTATAATTACCCTCTTATACCCGCTTAAACAGGCACTTGGTTTCGCTTGGTGTCAGAAGTTTCCCGTTGCGCAGGATATGCGGAGCATTCACTGAGCTTGCTTTGTGAGAGCGAGCCACCAATCAACTCCACCCTCCAAAAGAATGTGCTTCCTTTGTTCCTACATCGGGCCAGTTGTTTTCCAAGAAGATAGTGCTGCGAAATGTTACAATATGTTACCAAATCAGAAGGTTTATGTCACATCACGGTACAATTACAGCAATGTTGCGTTTCTAGCTTAGTGGCCCAATGAAAGGCCTTTGTAGTACAGCATTTTGAGTATGTTTATTTGAGCTGTGTTTGCCAGCAAAGTGTGCACACTGCACTGAAGCATTGCACGATGTTTGCGCAAAGTCTCCCTCAAAGCAACCATGTTGTTGACATCGCTCGTCGGTTGGAGGTCATCGCTCTTAGGTTGTTGACGTCCACTTGGCACTGCCGCGTGTCACAGAAATTTCACCTTCCCAAGGCTCATCCCGATGGGACCACTTTTCCTCGCGGCGTCGTTGCTCCTCACGTGCTTGGCATTTTCGCAATGTGGTGAGGCGTTTGGGATGGTCGACCAGTGTGGTTGAGTCCTTGAAAGAGAACCCTGAGAATGATGTGATGTGTGTGTGTGTGTGAAAGGCCATTACAAGGGAATGACAAATGCTTGATGCTAATGAATGCTAGTCCTTTGCATACTGAAAAAATAGAAAAATAGAAACATGAAAAAACTATATAATATATATATATAATGTAGATATCCCGAATTCTCCCACTGCCCCTCCGGCCTAAATGGTTGCTTCAGGAGGGCTGTGTGACTGACGACTCGGTTCTTCTTCAACCTCGCCTTGGTCATGTGGAGAAGACGAAGGTGGCGGGCTGCTTCTTTTTTCATTGGCGATCTGAAGAAGTTTGGAAAGAAGAAAGAACACAAAAAAGTGGTTTCAGAGGTTCAATGGCACAATCACCAATGTCGGTGGTGTATATTGACCCCGGATCTAAAAGACATGTAGGGGTGCCAGTGCCATCTACTCTGAAACCACTGTAAGAAAAAATGGCCCACCCATGTTACATGTTCCCATTGTCCCAGCTTCAAATGTCACTGTCTGGATGCGTCGACAGGAGGCCGAGACACAGAGCACCTGCGAGCCTCTCAACTACAACAACGGCGACTGTGTCGGGAGGAACACCTGCTTCGAGTGCGACTTCGACGACAAGAAGGTCCTGCCAGCAAATAAGGATCGCTTTCCCAAAGGATTCTTGCTCTGTCAGGGCGGTTCAACCACCTGCACCACAGCAGACACGGACACTATAGTCAGGTTCAGGAGTGCATCAGATTACTTGGAGTGCACTGGAGTTGCTTGGCTTAAAGGCTTCGATTGAGAGCTTTGGCTGTCTTTCCCGAGCGGGGCGATGCAGTCGGGCACTTTGTCCAAGGTTTGTCGAAGGGAAGACTGTGGTAGAGCTTGCTCAGCAAGCACAACGCTTGCACATCCCTGGCAATTCCAAGAGACCATGCCATTTTTCTTCGGAGAGAGAGAGAGAGAGACGAGGCCTAATGTTACTAACGTTCATGATTCATGTAACATATTAATGTATCTTGAGAATGAACTACTGTAGCGATGTCAACAGCACGATGTTTGTGTTCAATTTAGCTTGTTTGTAGGGATAGCACCTGCGAAGACTACGGCTCATTCTCAGGTTTGATTCCCAAACTCTTGTCCAAATCTCAGGTTGGGACATGCACAGATGCCTGGAATGTGAAGAATGCTGGAGCTGCCTGCTGCAGCGAGAAGGGCGCATGTTCCCTGTGAGCTGGCATTCATTAGATATACTCTTGGACAGGGTCACAACTATGACATGTCTTCAGCCTCGCCCATGCTCTACAAACCAAAGGTATGCAAGTCAGCTAGGAGTCAGCTGGTTCACAGCAAGCTGCTGTGATTTGAGCGAATTTTAGATCATAGCCTTACCTCGCGTTTGAGTGATTTCACATCACTGGCCATCATTTCCGAGGTCAACAATCTCCTTGTCACCGGATGGCGGTTGTCAGAATGACATGCCTTTGGCTTTGCATTTCAGTGCAGTTCTGATTCTTAAAGAATGGGGGAACCCAAAAATGTGAGGAACAAAAAAAGCTGGCACTTTTTCAGTGGAAAGCAGGTAGTACCCACCTCTGAGAGACCCACGTCGCTGGGCGTCACCGTCTGAG